CCATACTACCACCAGAGTTAGCTTTCTAAAATGTAAATTGGATTGTGTCACTCTCCTTCCTAAAAATGTACAGTGTTTCACTAAAATATAAATTCCTGACCCATAAGGTCATTCACAACATAGATCAAAATTAACTTTAGCTTCATCAGCCAGTTCCAACAACTTGATTAACCATCCCTCACTTTCAATGATTACCCACTTTTAATGACTAACCACTCTTCACTTTCATCTCAAATATTTTGTGGAATGAGATGGGCATTGTTTCATCAAATATTCTTCCCTTCTGCTCTCTGGCAAACTTGTGAGCTCTGAGGGCAAAGAACATGTCTGTCTTTGCTCACTATCACATCCCCTAGTGCCTGGTAGTGTATCCGACACTCAGACAGTATGCTCTTAGTGAGAATGCACAGATAACCTGGCTTAAAGTTCACTTCTCTGGAAAACCTTTCTTAACTATCCCAAACAGTAAATCAATCCCCTCCTCTGTTCCTCAGCACATTGGCTTTGTAATCAGGAAGATATCCAAGCACAAACAAGTTACTATGTTGCCTTTCTCATGTTCTTAATCAGCTAAATGGAAATACAAGGTGTGATCAAACAATACAGTGAAGGTTCAAATGAAAAAAAATGTATTACAGTAAAAGACATATTGCCATTAATCCCCCACAAAATACCTACCCTCGCTTCGAACACACTTATCCCATTGCTCTTGCCACTTTTTGAAGCAGTTCTGGAAATCCTCTTTCATGTCATTTGTTGTGCTGTCATGGCTGCCTCGATATCCTGAATCTATTCAAAATGTTGACCTTTCATAGTCATTTTGACTTTGGGGAAGAGCCAGAAGTTGTACGGTGCCAGATCTGGTGAATAAGGATGATGAGGACACACCGTAATGTTTTTATTTGACAGAAATTGCCATACCAGAAGCGATGTGTGACACAGAGCGTTGTCTTGATAGAGGATGATTTACGGCAAACTTTAAAACACACGTTCTCTCAACTGTAGCTCAAACCCAACTGACTGCACTGGACAAGATGAAACTTGTCACACTGTTACTAAGGTTCGACGCACTGCTTCTTGTATTGATGATCCTTGCCTTTCTGTTAGATGGAGCTCAGCAGCAGCATTCACCATATTTTGTGATCACAATAAAAAGGCTCTGTGTCACACATCGCTTCTGGTGCGGCAACTTCTGTCAAATAAAGCCATTACAGTGTGTCTTCATCCATCTTATTCCCTGGATCTGGCACTGTGCGACTTCTGGCTCTTCCCCAAAGTCAAAATGACNGTTCTATAATTTGTTGGAAAATTTCAACCTTATAATAGTGGTTCTAATACAGGAATGAGAATATAAATCATGGAGGGAGGATTTTTCAAAATGCAGATTACCTGGGGTAACCTCAGAGCTACTGAATCAAACATAATCTCTAGGGGTGAGGCAAGGCATAGGTATTTTGCAAAAGCTTCCCAGGGGATTGATTCTACTACAAACCAGTGGTTTAAAAGCCACTCCTTACCTAATTAAATTCAACTGAGAAAGAAAATAGAGTCGTGGTTGCCAGGGGCTGGGGAGAGGGGAGAAAGGGGAATTGTTTAATGGGCACAGAGTTTCAGTTTTGCAAGATGAAAACAGTTCTAGAGATTGTTTGCATAACAATGTGACTATACTTAACACTACTGAACTGTATACTTAAAAATGGTTAAGATGGTAAATTTGATGTTATGTGTATTTTACCATGATTTTAAAAAAGCCACTCCTTTTTAATGACTTGAACAATATTTTAACCATTAGAAAACTCTTTTGCTGACATGAAAATTTAGCTGGAGTTAAATTAAATTAACATTTATGAGGTATCCATAGTTGCATATAATTACATCAAATAGTTTATACCTCCAAAAGGAAGAGGGCAGTAAGTACTTGAAAGAGTGGATTAATTTTTCTCACAGTCTGAATTTCATTCCATTCATTTGCTACAAAATATGTTCTCCATATGCTTACAGGAACTGTAGCACTCCGTACATCACCCTCACCTGGTCAGGGAGATAAAATTAGTAAAGGAGTTACATCTTCATTGTTCTTCAAGGGTAGCAAAAGAATTTTGGTACAAATGGTTATTTCAGTTACCTTCAATAGCTTTAAGAACCTTTCCTTTAGGTCGCTCCCAATCAATAAAGAATATATCTATGGTAACCTGGGATATGAGCTTATGCAAAAATTGCAGAGCCTGAGAATGACAAACAAAACACCTAAAACATCTGCATTAAGCCTACTTATGAAAGCAATACTAATTCTTTAAACAAATATACTGCAATGATAAAAATACATAATTTTCACAAGTGACAAAGTTATAATACCATTAGGGGATCATTAAAAACATATCAAATAACACTGAATCACCAAATTTAGAAAATTTTTATATACGTATTATTTCACCTTCCCTTCTTCCATCTTTCTGTCATAGGGATACGAAAAAAGGAGACATACTACCTCCTCTTCATATAACTCTTTTTCCCAAGGTTTCCAAATATATTTTGTTTTCTGGATCATCTGACTTCTTTATAAATAAAGATATTTTTCAAATGAAATTTGTTTGTTCTAACTGAAGTTTTAAAATGCTTTCATAGGGCCGGCCGAGTGGCGCGTTGGTTAAGAGCTGGCTTGGGACGCCAGAGGACCCTGGTACAGATCCCACATATGAGGGCCAGTGATGCTGCCCTCTAAAGCTAAGATGATGAACAACAGCTCAACCTGGAGCTGGGCTGCCGTGGATTGCCGGCGAAGGCGTGGGCTGCAGCCCCTGCTGCAGTGGGTTACCATGGGCTGCCATGTGTAGCCAGCAGCCAGTGTGAGCAGCCGTCCAGAGCCTGGCGTCTGATCTGCCTTGCCCGGGAAGAGCGCAATGATGGTACCAACTTGGGCCAGTGGGGCANTGACAATATACAAAGGGAAGTTTTATAAATCAGAAGAAAAAAGTTTACACTGAAGTCCTTAGATGTGCTTCCAAGAAAGATAACATTTCCTAACCACACAATTTAAAGCTGTCCCACTGTCTCTGCCATCCCCCATTCCTAATTTCCACTCCCCTCACCTCCATTTACTTGCTATCTCATCTCCCTGCTGAGGCCTTTAATAGTGCTTGTCACAACTTGTAACTTGTTCATGTTACAGCATATCCTGGAGCTCAGCACAGTATCTAGTACATAAAATGTACCCAGATATGTGAATGAATAAATGAAACAGCAGCTGATTATTGACAACATTTTCCTAAGTATTCTATATATGTATTTTTAAAACCCCTTTCAAGGTCATGAAAAACGGCAGCATTCAAAGTTTAAAAATTAAAAGATACCACTTAAAAGTTGAAGAAGCTGAGTTTAGGAAAATAAAAGGAGTGAACAATGAAGCCTAACACCATGAGAATCAAGAAGAGTTTGGATAGACAAATTTATGGAACAGTTAACAGGTTAAGGGAATTCTTGAGGATCCTTGAGGAATAAACACTGATAACCTTAGAAAGTGACCATAGAGAGAAATACCTTCCTATTAGAATGATAGAGTGAGAAACACAGGTGCCTGAGATCACTGGTTGCTGCCCCAACAATCCTTTCCCCTTTCTCCTCAGTCACAGACCCTTTCTTTGAGTGGTCACACTGCTGCACAGCTGAAAGATGACAATGCAGTGAGGTGTGGCCATGTGATCAAGTTATGGGCAAGGAGGTGCTGAATGGCACTTTTGAAAAGGCTCTTAAAGAGAAGGTGACCTCTTGTCCTCTGGCTTCCCACTGCAACTCCATCCGCCATTATGGACCATGAGGTGACCTCAGAGACGGAAGTACTGGGTGGCAGAGGAGAACAGGCTTCTGGGTCTGAGAGGAGCCACCACTCCGGCCCTGCACTGCCCGCCTCTGCTCTTCTCTCATGGGAAATTCACTTTTGTTATAGCCATTGTTATTTTGATTATTTTTATTATACACAACCAAACATTAAAAGCTTCAGATGGTATCCCTTTAAAATTACCTTACATCTAGACAAATCTGATCTATTCACAAAAACATACATTGGTAAATGTACAAAATAAAATATTTTCTATTATACTGATGATAAACATCAAACCCCATATTCTTGACTCTGTCTTAAATTCAAAATTCTGTTTCTTTTCCTTTTCTCATTGTCAAACTATCCCTCATTAGCTCTATCCTTGTAACTTCAAGTTTAAACAAATGTCATCAATTTAAAATAAATGCAAATTTAAGAGTATAGTCTCAGGTCACAGAATGCCACCTGGATCCAATTCTGTAGGAATTTTGGGATTTCAATTCCAAAAGATTTTTTAAAGTAAGCTTTTTTTAAAGGCAGGTATTTGTTCCCCATGTTCTAAGAAGTTTAACCTCGTCTTTCCAGAGGTCTGATCTTCATTTGCTTATTTAAAAATTAAAGAGGAATTTTTAATGAAACAGAAAGGCTCTTTCCATTCATGGGAGTGTCTGGAAGCAAGAGAAAGACGTGCAGATATCAGAGTTACATGCTTTAGCTGCTACTTCTTCCTTTTCTTCCTTTCATACTTATTTTTTAAGCTTTAGAAAGGAAAGTAAGCATAGAAAAGATCCTCTGCTAGAGCTATGGGACCTGAAGTTGAGATGATTTATTTTTAGTTTCAGCTATTTCAATAAATATTTCAAAGAATAATTCAAATTGCCAAATTACTGGCAATTTGAGTGAGACTTAGTGATGTTTAAATAAATGTTAATAACAAGTTATACTTCAAAAGAAAAGAAAATATAAAGGTAGCTTTGCCATCTTGTGGTTATATATAAACTAAACAGGGAGTCCATCCTATGACTAGAAAACTGCAGACTTTGAGAGACTTCAGAGCCTCACTATTGATAACAATGTGACCTCTGAAATCAAATTACTTGGGTTTCAACTGCAATTCTGCCAATCTCTAAATTGCATCACTTTAGGCAACTATTTAACTTTCCTGTGCTTTAGGGTCCTCATCTGTAAAATGAAGCTACTAACAGAACCTATCTCTGAAGATTAAGAAAGTTAACATATACAATCAATTAATTAACATACTGCCTTGATTATAACACTATGTAAGAATTAGCTATTAGCTATTACTATGTTGTTCTTATTGTCACCTTCTTTCTGCTATAGAAATCAGAATGTGGTCAATGTTTGAGGATATTCAGTATGTAAACAGTTATAAATATAGAGAGGCAATGTTGCTTAAAAGTATAATCTCTTATTACCTGTATAATTCCAACGACTAGCCAAAGAGCAGTAGACACTGCATATCTCAAAATGCGGCTATAAGGAGCTATGTAGCTAGGTGGGTTTCTGGAAAGACTAGAGGATGAGTCCATTAACGCTAAGTTCTTGAATCCCACAACCTGGAGTAAAAAGGGAAAATAATAATTTAAACAGACATGAATGAGGAAAATTTTTCTAGTTTGAAAATGAGATACTCCTTCCTNACATTTTGGATCTGGCTAATTGCTTCCTGTGGTATTAATTTGTCTCTCTATTCCCTCTATTTCCTGTAAACTAGTGGTGAGATCTAGAGGCTTGATTATATTCAGGTTCAATTTTTTTAGGCAAGAATATTTCATGGGTGATATTATGTGCTTCCTACTGTGTAATAACAGCAAGTACGTAATGTCAGTTTTCCTAATTTTTACTTGTAGTAAGGTTGAGCCAGTGTATTCAGATTATGTCAACCTGTCCTTCATTATAAAGTTCCCTGTCCACTTTCACTTAATTGTTTTAACATCCATTTATGATTGTAGCCTATATGCATTTAACCATTAATCATTACAAAATGGTGATTTCCTAACTTCAAATTCCTTTTACTTTTTTCTGTAAGAAAGAACTTTCCCTCATGAATTATTTAGATACTCCGAAATACAGTTCATATAGAAACTGCAGGGTGAAATTTGATTCTTTGCCTTTATCAATGTTCAGGGAAATGAGCTGGTGCCCTAGCAATTTTCAAAAGTAACCAATAAGGATTTAAAAAAATATTATTTCAAATCCTAGATTAAGAAAACAGAACCTGTCTCTCAAAAACAAAAAGATGTAAAATACATTCATTCATACCGCTTCTCTTTTAAGATTCAGATTCATTTCTTCCATGTTAGTATCTGCATGCCCGTGTACTGATCTACCATGAATGTAATAACCAAAACATTTGTGGGATAAGAGAAACACTGATATCTATAAAAAGAGAAGGATAAGGAGCAATTAGCAACTCATCTGCAAAACACTAAATTTTTTTTCTTAAAATTATTTCCTTTCTCTCAAAATAATGAGTGTTGAATTCTTGGAAAATATATACAGGATAATAAGATGGTAAAGGATAATGAGGTTATTTTAAAAAATGTAGACGGAAAACAGATTGAAGATATTATCCAAGAAAGGAAGAAAGGGGGTTGATATATGAAAACTTTTCAAGGATTCTCAGCTGAGTGAACTATTGGGTTGTTGGAAAAATTGACGCACGTTTGCAACAGATGGCACTAGTTCATTTTTGGAAGTACTAGGGTCATTCCCATCTATGTTATTGCTATGTCATTTGACAGCTGACAGTTCTAGCTTCATTCTAAAAAAAAAATTGAGCATTTTGGTTGAGTTTTGGAGATTTTACAAGTTGAAGATGGAAGACCGAACTGTGCATTTTTGTCACATTTTACTGTTTTACTTCCATAAAGGGAAGAATGCGCGTCAAGCTTGTGAAAAGTTGCATAAAGTTTACAGTGACAATGCTCCACAAGAACGTCAGTGCCAACGATGGTTCATGTAATTCCATGCTGGTGATTTTGATCTCAATGACGCTCCTCAGTCACGGAGGCCCACCAAGGTTGATGACAACAAAATAAAGGCATTGATCAAATCAAACCCACGTTATACAACACGAGAGATTGCAGAATCATTGAACATCCATCCTTCAAGCATTCATGACCACCTGAAGACACTGAGATAGGTAAGCAAGCTTGATATTTGGGTTCCACATGAACTCAAAGAAGTTCATTTGACGGCGCGTATAAACATCTGTAATATGCTCATTAAACGTGAGGAAAACGATCCTTTTTTGAAGCGACTGATAACTGGTGATGAGAAGTGGATTGTTGACAACAATGTGGTGTGCAAACAGTCTTGGTCCCGATGTGATGATNTAACTAAGTTCATTATGTTTCCTCTGTTTTCATATAAAATTATAAAATCAAAAGAAAAATTAATAACTACAAGTATTTTTTTTTCAAAGTTTGAAAATAGTTATCAAGTTCAGCAAAGGCATTTGAAGGATACCATTGTAAAAGATGCTTTTTTCCATTGGTTCCATGAATTCCACTCCAAGAATTCTTTCAAGAAGCAATTTATCTTTTATAAAGTAGTCCATTTCCTTATGAACCTAATATAAAAAGCCAGAGTCATTTCAAAAATAGTAGTGAAATAAATGTTCCTCAATTTTTATAAAATCACAAGAAGAGAAAACAAAAAAATGAATATAGTACACAAAGAAAATCTGTTCTTCAAAAATACAATTTACTACACTGGGCTTTATAACAAAATTCTCTTTAGGAATATTTTAAGTTTTAAATGCCCCCTTAGTAGTGTTTGGGGCTAGATATACTAAAAAGCAATTTATAATAAATTTTTCAAGAATACAACTGTAGCATATTTCTATAGTGAATAATACAGTAATATTTTGGTAAATGGCTAACAAAATTCCAGTATTTTAAGGTAATCACCAACATGCTAATAGACATGTAAAATCTCATTTTACTTTTTCAAAACCCACCTCTATCTCTAAGTCACAGTATTAATTCTGACAGCAAAAAAAGTGGGGGAGGAGGGTTTCCTAAGTCCACTGACTTGGTTGACTGAAGAAATAACTGGCATTCCTGGTTAATTTTTTAAGAACTGCAATTTAATTAGCTTAAATATAAATGCTGATGCTGACATACATACATGATCGATGAAAGAGCCAAGAAATTTATTCATAGTATGATATGCTTTTATACTCTGCTCAAAAGTACTTGCTGATGAACTCAATAGTCTAGCAGGGCCATTTTTCTAATGTGAAAAAGAGACAAGAATAAATGCAACATGCCTTACATTCTTGGTATTTAAATAACATAAAATATTGGCAAAATAGTTCTTAACTACTTTCTACGAACCGTTGTTAGTGTCTCATGAATTCTGTCATAGTGCTGTCTCATCTGGCCAGAAATTGCAATCTGAAAAGTCTGACCCTCGGTGTTGGGTACCAAACCTCTCTGGCTACATAAATTTTCCTGAAAATTAAAGGATTTAAATTAAGATCAAGATTATGAAAATTTCATCTGTTTCAAAAAGAATATGAAACATTTTTAAGTTGGTATCACATATTACAAAACTCAGAAGCCAACTGAAATTTTACTGAAACTATATTTGAGACAAAGTGATTCTAACATTATCCAAGGTCCCTACTCTCTAGATTTTACTAATTTCTATTTTGTTATTCTCCCTCGCAGGTCTCTATATCATCTCCTTTACTGTGCAACTTTNAAAAAAAAAATGCTTTCATAGTCTTTTTTCCTATTTCTGATATTGAGATTTCTGATTTAAAAATGTGATGTTGAAACATATCTTTTTCATTTACAGAAGTAATAGGTTTAAACTGAGGCAGTCTTTCTAGTAGATCCATTATTAATCAAATAAAGGATAAAAATCTAAGTATGGGATGATTCCTCTCCTCCAGAAGCTCATAGGTCAGTGGAAAAAGCTGTTAATAATCAAAATACAATGGGTTGAGATCTACCACACAAAGGCATTTAAAGAGCTTCACATACATTGACAGAACAACAAAGTAGGGAGAGGAGTTGCTATGGGAAGAGGAGGAAAGGGATATGGAGACAGAGAAAATAAATCCTAAGATTTCAGCACATTATCCAGGGTAGTACCTTCTACTCTCAATTAACAGAAACAGAATTCATGCCTGAATTCATTTTGTCCTGTTGTAAATGCATCATCAGACTTTAAATAAGAAAGAAATATCATTTTATCAACTTATCAAATATATAATTCAGATTAATTCAAACATATTTACGGCTTCTTAGGAAAAATCATTTAAGCCGGATTTTCAGAATGAGCTATTATAAATAAAAGTAGATGTCCTATGTAAAATAGAATAATTCATGCCTTCTTTCAAAATCAAACTAAATTTTACACCATAGGTTTTGAAAGCACTTCAAAGACAAGTTTATTAGCAGGACTTTAAATACGTTAACCTGTCCTTTGAAACTTACCTTCAGAGCAAAAGCACATGCCACATAAGTAACAAAACGTTCTTCCTGAGCTGGCAATGGTAGCAAAACAGAGACAGACTTCTGTGCCTATGACAAAAATTACACTGTTAAATATGACCATACAAGATTTTTACTGAGCACAATTTATAACCCAAAGAAAGCATAAAAGAGGAAGGTGGTAATGCTCTCAGTAAACAAGCACTCTCTGGGAAAGCTGTTTAGCATTTGCTTCAATCAGAAATACCCCAAACACAAACAGTTCCTTTAGAAAGAGTGCTTACCAGTTATCAGGTATTAGCATTCAGGTTAAACCAGAAACTCACTTACTTTGAAGAAAATAAGCCAATAAAGACCTGTTCCCACAGTGACGATAAAGAAAACATTCGCCAGATCGCCAGCATAGTATACCAAGAATTTCGTAACTGTCTGCAATTTAAAGAGAGTTACAGCTGTTATAGACTCAGTATATTTATACTATTACTTTTAATAACATATTATCTACCAGTTTCTCAAGCTTGAAGCCTTGTTTCATGTACCCATGGATCCGTTAGAAAGACCAACTGTGGCCACCCCCAAAATATCTTTTGGTTCATTCACAATAGCCTCTATCTTATTCAATCCTTCTCATCTTTCATCATCTAAGAATGTTAAAACAGCTTCCTAGTTTTCTCCTAGGTTGGAACCTTTCTCCCCAATCTATCATCCATACTACCACCAGAGTTAGCTTTCTAAAATGTA